ATAAAACCTACTGCAGTTCGCTACTTGTGGTAAATTATAATTTTGTCAAAGAATTGTAATTCCTCAAAGACAATATTTATGCAACAAGTGTGAAATAATTCTGACAACAAAAATTACAATCAATGTAAATGTCAATCATTGTACCATGGTCATTAGGATAATGGATGAAAAAACTTCTCAAAGTAAAGAAATAAAGTAAGAACAAAATCATGAACTGATTCAGATTTTCCCTGGTAAGTGGTTTGAACAAAGAAAGCATGATCAAACATTTCAAAGAGAAAGCCATGCTGTATAAATAATTTAACACTTAAAAATATTGTACATATGTCTGGTTAAGTCTTGAATATTTCATCAGGAATTGAAACTTAAGCCAGAAGGTTTTTCCTGGGTGTACAAATTCATTAAAAATGCTTCTGTTTGTCTCAAGGAATGCAAAAAGCTTTGTTAAATACTGCACAAGCTGGCAATGATGGTGAATATATGTGGTTAGATATTAAGAATATATTTCTAAATGATCTTTCTTATGCTTAGACCATAAACTAACAAGTTAGTAGTCGCGTTCATTCTCCAGATGTGTAAATATTTGACAGCATCTTGGTCACCCAATTAATTTGTCTAGAAACTTGATAAAAGCATAATTTGTGATAAGGACTTCTAACAAAGATTCCATTGTTATCACACCCATCAACCTTATCTACCTCTTTCATCAAGTCTATTAGAGATAGCATATGTCGCTTCAGGAAACTTTACAACAAAACAAATACCCAAAAGCAGAGATATCTGGATGAAAAGGGTGACAAGTATATCTGATAACCTACAAAATTAATATCCATACTGTGTGAGATAACAATGTGACAAGACCTGATTCAGCTGATAACAGATTTATTACAGCATCAAAAGTTTCCCCTTCAGGGAATTTGAACTAAAAGGAATAAATAGAATTAAAAATAATGATTTACTGCATCTAACAAGAACTGTAACTTATCTCTGAGGCTAGAAATCCTCTAAATCAAGAAAAACATATTACTTTGAATCATTGGCTCAACTAATTCATCTCACTGATTAAAACAGCTTGCTGACAAATAGCTATGACTCATTTTTGACCTGTCAATGCTAAACAGGTTTTATTCTGCGTTGTTTACACAGTCTCAAGATGCATGAACATGTGGTGTTTTAGCTGTAGCAGAAGAATAGTTTAAAAATAAATGAGTATAGTTCTGAAAATTTTAAAGCAAAATAGGTTTTACTCTGTGCTGTTTATGCAGTCTCAAGCACATGGACATGTGTTACAACAATTACAATAGAGCTGAAAAATATATGTTTAAATTTCTAAAAAAGTTTGAAATTATACATCATTTGAGACACTTTAACACTATGGATCTCTCTTTTGTTTAAAACACTCAACAAATGTTGGTAAATATGCACAGTTAAAAATGAAGCATTTAAACTCGGCAAGGATATGTTTTTGATGTAAAGGAAATAAAACAATTCAAATTTGTTTTTCATTTTAGTATACAAACATAGGGCATAAGGGTTGCACGTGGAATAATAAATGACTCTGCAAGATGTTTGATATTAATCACTGAAGTTTTGGTTTCACAACAAACTTGAGATAAGAAAAATATCATGAAAAACTTTTGTCGTGAACTAGCCAATTATAGCCTTGAATTTTTAACTTTTTCATAACTGATGTCTCAGTTGAATAGGATGTCAGCTCTAAACTAAAATATCACATGTTTTTCCTCAAAAACTGGAGGAAATTTGGATGAATTGTATGAAAGAACAGATAGTTGAATAGTTAAATATTTATATGTGTTAAATCAGGTCTAAGTAATTTGATTTGTACTTTCTTTTGTTTCAGTTATTTACAATACCTCAATTTTTTCACAGAAAATACAAACCAAACCAGGATGAATTAATTTTAACCTGAAATTCATTGTAAACCTCATCACATAACTACATTCTCTGTCAGCATTGTTTGACCATCATCATGTATGTCATTGGTGTATTATAACTTTTTAGTCAAGCAGTGCTCTCCCTTATTTTAGGCACAAAAGGTAAATGAAATATTTAAAGAGCAACCCTTTTACCTGTGGAATTTTCAAGAATTTCGAGCAAGTTTAGGCAGTAATATGGGGTACTAAAAGCAGTATATTTTACTGATTACAGCTTTAAAAGTAGAACACTGTCCAGAATGTGTTGAGTTTAATCCAATCAATATGAATGACCCTATACAAACCAAATCAATGAGACAGCTACCATGTTTTCCAAATCAGGTGTCCTCCTGTTTTGCAAAACCACAACATAAAATCACAAAACTTACCAACTGGTGGGTTCACTGTAACCACTCTTTGCTCTTTGGTGTCCACCTTGACAACTGTGTCATTCAGAATTCTTGATGTACGAGGGGCAGGTTTGGGTAAGGTGCCAAATTGAGATGGTATTCTAGAACGTGGTCTTGGTGCTGGGGCCCTTCGCACAGCTGAGCTCTTGTCCATTACACTGCCAGAAGCTTTGCTGAAGGATGAGTTTAGAGAAGCACTCACCTTGGAAATAGCCTTTTCATCCTTTTCATTTTTCAAATTTTGTTCTGGGGCAGCTGCAGTCCCATCACTGGGTTCCAAGTAAATATGATTCAATTCCTCAGCTCTATCTTTCTTCAGATCCTTTTCTTTTGGGGGCAGGGGTGGTGCATCACTTGGGCTCTCTGTTGTTGGAACAGCAACACCAGCACTTATGTCAACCACTTTATATGGTTTTGTAATTGGTTTTAATGTTGTATTCACATAAAAAGGTCCAGTATTGCTACTTTGGAGTTTTTCGTTAGGTATGGGTTGTTCTTTTACTGCCACTCTGGGCGATGCCACCAAGTGAGGTTTGTTATTTCTGGTGTTCAAATTTCCAAAGGAATTTTTAGCAGCCATAGCTTCACCACTGTTTTCATGTAAATCTGATGTGCTACAACTGTCCCAAGTGCTGCTTCCCCAAGAGCTACTTGAGGTTCCACTAGACTCAATAATACAATAACCATCGTTTGTTGTGGGAGTGACAGTAACTGGAATATCTGCCAATAAGCCTACTTCTTGTTCTACAAGAACTGACTCATTGCCCGAGGCATTGTTAAAAGAATCACCCCTGTTCGACTTTCGAGTGTTTTCATAACCCGAATCTTGACTGCCGGACACTGCACTTTCGCTGCTTGAGCTTGAGGCTCTATTTACGTAATTTGGCTCTGTGATAGTAGAAAATTTACAAATAATCTTGTTAGGATTATCACGATTATTATTCAATTTGTCCGACTCACCAGTGTCTCGATCAGTAATTCTAGATTCGTTGATCTTGTTTGTGATCATGCACAACGGATTACGAAATTCTAAAACAGTAGACGACAATTCTTCGTCGATTTGAGAGCCACATGCAACTTTCATTCGATTTTCGCTGATCGCCATTTTTTTCGAGTCACTATCACTTTCACAGTTTGGTTTCAAAACATCTGTCTCACGAACTTCTTCACGTAGCGGATCAGATTCGACACCAAACAACACTATATTGCTCTTCATCGGTACATATTCGTCGCTTGAATCGTCGTCTTCGATCGCATTTGTAGATACCGGAGCGGCTTCTTCAATTTCGGTTGAAACGTTATCTGATGAAGGCAGAATGTCACTTTTGTTCACGTCCAAAAACTCCGCATCGTTCTTTGGCTCCCCAAACTCAACTACATCTACTTCATTACAAATTGTCACGCTGTCTGTTTCGTTGTTAGATCTGTTTTCCAGCTTCGCTTTTTCAACGTTATCCAATATTGACAATCCACTCTCGATGGGAATTTCTGAGGAGGTTGCGTTACATGGTTGAGTAAGGGAATTCCCAAGAGAGTTCTCAAACGATGTGAGACCGTTTAACACATCTGCTGATTCTTGCGGGTTTTCGTCGCGACTTGCGGCGCTATAACTAAATTCCACAGCTCGAGAAGCCGGTCGTGGTTTTGGTCTTGGTGCTGGCCTAGGTTTAAGGGCAGTCGATGTTTTGAAATCCTGTGCCTCTTTCCTTGAATCAGTCACAGTGCTACTGCGATCGTTGGTTACTTCAATGGCGTGAGTTGTGCAAGGTGTAATGGATTTATTAATATCGTTCTCACCATTCCCTTTATCAGTTCCCTCCTTTCCTTGTTCCTGTTCAAATAAATTATCTGTCTTTTCAACACTACATGCTTTAAAATTTTGAGTTTTTGGGCTTTGTGGAGGAATCACAACTCGTTTTGGTCTGCAGTTTGCGGAACCACTACCGGTAAAACTGGCGTCTTCGTGTTTGTTGACAGCGTTTTGATGTTTGTCGCGAGACTGAAAGCAGTTCGCGCACTTCCCCTTTCTCCAGAGTTGTTCTACAAAATTATCACAGTTAGACATTTCTAGGTAGCTTTCTCGTAGGGTTCCCACATCGTCGGGTGCATTTTTACCGAATACAACACGGTTTAAATATCAGAAGGACGACATTTAAATATACGAAACACCCACTACGACTTTCTTGACAGCAGGAGACACAAAGAACCTTCACATGTCAGTAACCAAGAAGACTGGGTTCCAAGGAAAGGAGGGTCTACTTCCGGTGAAATAATCAAGGGAAATCACTTATTCGATAAAGAATGATAATTAGATCAAATGCTAAGGATATTGGTGAGGATGTTGAATTTTCCGCATTCGAAGCTATTATCTGTCGGTTTGTTATTTTCAAACAAAACCTTCCGACAGAGATGAACTCAATATCAAATTTCACCCTTTCCGGCTTTTATTATGTTATGGATTGCTGAAAAAAAGGATCTAATGTGAGAACTTCCGGTCGTTTATACAAAGTTTTGAATTCTAGAACCGATATTATTAAACATAACTTGCTTCCGATTTTAAGTGTACTTGCAATTAAAGAAGTGCTCAAACTACCGTAAAAATGGTTGCTGGATCCTTCTCATTTATGATCGCCGTTAGAAAAGTAGTCGAAAGGAAGACAAACTTTTAAGTCAGTTTAATTTGATTTTTGTATCACACGAGTTAAAAACATCCGAGGTCAAGATTGGTGAGAACTACTAAAAGAATTTCGGGTCGAAACATTTCGGATCCTGTGACGCAGAAAACCACTTAAGTAAACCAACAAAGATAACGTTGAATTGCTTTAAAGATGCTTGGACTTGATGTTGAAAATACTGATATTGGTCCATAAAAATCCTATTTGCTTCAAACAGAAGTGGATTTCGAGCCTGGGTTGGGCTGTTTCCCTCTAGGTCCTAACTTGTTGAAAATCTAAGCCAATTGTTATAAAAACAATGAAAATACCCTCCTTTAGAAAAAAACTTCCGCTGATGACATATGAATTGAGTAAGATCCAATCTCATTTAAGGGCTAACAAGATTAAAGGGCCAAGGCGATCATAATAAGTTTAGCAAATAAAATGTCGCATACTTGGTGTTGAAATTATTTGGTTTGATTTTACCGGTCTTGATGTGAGTAAAGAGGTGAGACTGGTGGAAGAACGCCTCGAGAGCGGCTTTTTTGACAGACTGATACTCTTGAGAATCTTTTCGCTTATAGAACTAAACCAATTTTAAGCATAAGACGTGCCATGGACCGGCCAACGTGGATTATTTTCAAATAAGTTTGCACGCAACTCTACTTTGTACCCAATGGATCGCGTGAGTTGGAGGCTGGGGTTAAAATCATTCTCTCGTTGAAGAGAGTTATGATACTCGGTTTGAAAATCTATCGTCCTCATCAAGAAACTTTAGGTTTCCGCTTTTCACGTTCGGCAACAAATTGTTAGCAGTAGAGTGAACGCACAATGTGGAATGACAAGCTTCATAAATCAAGTAAGTTAGTTCACGGTAAGAGGAGCAAGTATTGTTTACTTGCTCGTGGTTATTGTATGGTGATATGGGCGTCGGTGCTAGAGGCTACCAACTGCCGCGGGAGTCCAAAGATTATGCCTCCGAAATCTCTGGATGGCGATTCCGCGCGAGCCCCTTAGGTCTCACGTGCCAGTGATGGCAAAGGCCCTTTTAATTTATGAGGAAAATACGTAATTTCATGACAAGCAAAGAACTGCTTTCCTTGTGGGACATTATACTACGGTGCGCATGCGTCGTATAAGACGATATTGCATAGTCTCTTAAAACGGCTAATTTTTTTATTTTTCACTTTATTGTCCCATTTCTGACCACATTATAATCCAAAGGGAGTGGTCCATCTTGCCCATCTAAAAAAAAAATGAAAAAAAATAAGTTTCTGCTTCAGCCACGTCATTAGTATAGTAGCCCATTTCGTTTCATTTAAAGTGAATTCATCCTCATTTAAATCCTTATTACTGATTCTTTTTTCGTTTTTGTTTTAATGTTGAGCCGTTCAAGGTTCTTTGCAACTAAAACTGACAGTCTCTTACGATCTCTTGCTGTTGCGGACGGATGAAAACGGAGGCTATTTTTTTTGACAACGATTACGTCACGGTGTTGAATCCAGACTTTGCCGCGCACGAGCTTAAGACGAAAACAACATGGTGGACATACGCTACTTTAACTTCTTGCAAGCATTATGGCATGTTTTCAGATGATGACTAGTTTTTATCCCACCTGATTATTTTGTGATCAGGAATGCAGAAAGATATTCAGATATTGATTGATTTACTGGTTGACTGACATGTTCAAGCTTAAATTCGGGCTCGCAACAGTTACCTCTTACTCTCGAGAGTCGTGACTTTTCATCGGACTGTTTCAATTTTAATCAACAGTCATCCTAAGAAAATCGTATTTAGAGAAAGGTAAATCGAAGCATACATGACAGTATTTTCCATTTCCTTTCAAAGAAGCTGAGAGAGCGGACATGGGTCACACGAAGCCTGGGGTAAATTTTTCTTTTACAGTCCTTACGCACTGGCTATCGCGTGACTCCAGCTCGGCTCTAAGCTCTTCTCTTTACGCCAAACTTGACGGAGAAGGCTTCTACACAGGCTGGGGAAATCGTGGGTGCATATCACAAGAGTTTAAGCCATTTAACTTTAATTTAAAGGAATACATAATTATTTTTTTTTTAAGTCATCTTAAGTCCTGTCGAGATGACAACATTAATGGAATAATGGAATAAAACCATGAATTAATCCTTTGTTTACGGGCGGAAAAACAAGAAGAAGAAAATGATATACAAAAGAACTGCGAAAGAGGGTAATTGAGGAGATAGAAAAGAGTAACACAAACTTATTTGTAAAATTTAGGCTAAATTTACCAATAAAGTACACTAATTTTGACCAAGGTCTGCTAAGCTGTCTGAATTGTATGATAATTATGTCCTGGCACCCGCTGAACAAAGTATATCTGCAGCTGCTAGCTTCCACTAGCACTGCTGATCGAGTTGAAGCGAAGCTATTGTCGATTGAAGCGTTCTGTACAGAAAGATCCAGAATCTGCTCATTTTAACCTTCCGCGCAACTATGAATGGAGGTAATTGACTGTAAGGCTGTGGAAATGTAATCTTTTAAAGGTCTTTTCTTTCGCTAACAAGTAATAAGGGTATTATAAATTCCATGTGTACGTCGGATTTGAACCTCGCAGTTCATCCACATGGTTTAATTAAATGCCCACACAGCTTCAGCCGGCGAAGGGTTAATCGCAGATTAAAGGAAACAATGAGCGAAGAGCAAACGCAACTAGGTCCGAATGCTGAGCCGTAATAGATTTAACTTTGGAGTAATTTCAACCTTGTTTCTCTCTTTTCATCGCGCACAAAACGACTTTCTTCCTCTGTTGTGAATCGTTATGCAAGCGCGTACTTGCACACTTAAGCTGAGACTGAAGGCATTGCTGTTATTTATTGAATTAACTTTAAGCTCCTTCATGTAGATTGTTGTTTAAGGAGGAAAGGGTAAGCAATTTAGTTGTAGTTCAACTGACAATCTACGGATAGTCGATTCGCGATCTTATGATTATTTCAAGCTTCAGTTACTTCACGAGACCTTAAATTGTTCAATTTGCAAATACGAATTTTCGCAAACAACTTACAGTACTAAGCGTTGCTCACGAAGTAAAATGAAAAGGGAAGCGAAGGTCTTTCGAAATAATAGTTTTACCTCTAACACGCTGTTAGTATAGATGATATATAATATGTCGTAAAGAGCAGGTTCTGCACAATGCATTTCGATTGCATAAACATTTCAACATTCGACGGTCTATTACTATAAAAAGCTAAAACTGCACTTAACGTACTTTGTAAAAGAAATGAAAGCGGCATTATGTATCTGATCAAAAACTGTATAACAGGAGTATAAACAAAGGGATGGGGTACATCGTTTTTTTCAGATGACAAGGGAAAAACGATAGGTCAACAAGATATCTATTTCTAAAATAATTCACATACGCGCGATGTAATTTTAACATCGTAAACAGGCTTAAGGGTAATAAGCCTTCGAGACTTTGTAATTTATTCTCTTACAGCACCGCTGCCCTCCCTTCCATAATTGGTGTGTCCTTGTGTCATATGTAACCTAGTAGCCTCAAGACAGAAAAGATTTGGAGAGATTAAGATCCTCCTCACCAGACCGTCCTCCATTACACTGTTGTCTTTTTTTCCACAGATCACTGCAAATGTGGTCCGGGCTATGCCTCCCTACAGGACGCTATGAAAGGTCCTAGAGAGAAATTATTGTATTTACCATGCATCCTGAGTAACACGGGGATACAAAAGCCGGACTATCTTGCCACTGTTGATGCAGATCCAGACTCCCCTAATTACAGTCAGGTAAGTAAACATTGTCGTTCACTCCAGATTAACATTAGAAATCGCGCAGTCTTCTACTCAATCTTTTCTTCTCCTTCTCACTTAAAGTTTCGTGTTTTGACTCAGGGACTTCAAGGAGAGCAGATAACGGAGGGCGAACGGTTCCTGCTGCTTGGCTTTGAATTCGATTCAGTAAAAACTAGTGTCTAATTTGGTGACGCAATCTCTCATTCTTTCCCTTGCTCCTCACTAGAGTTTTCTCTTAGCTCTCAAGCGGAATTTAAGTGGGCTAAAAAACAGCTTCAAACTGAGGATTAATTAGGAGTGGAGGAAAGAAAATGCTGATGGGCAAAAATTGATTGAAAGGTTAATTTCATTTTGCAATTAATTTAGAATTTTTGTGATAGGTTATTCATCGCTTGAAGGTTCCTTATATAGGAGACGAGTTACATCACAGTGGCTGGAATGCCTGCAGCAGGTCAGTTGGTCTCAAGAAGAAACTAGGGCCTTCATTCTGTTGGCACACTGAAGAATAAATGAACACTGAATGTTGCGATTGTGATCATTGCTTTTTTTCTACCCCAATTACATTAAGGCGAGGACGTGCCTAACGAGTCACACCTAGGTTGTAAAAACTTGGAAAGTTATCAGTTGGATCCAATTTTTTTTCAATTTTGAACAAATTCTGATAGGTTAGCAATAATCATGTACTGATGGTGCGAGCGTTTCAGGAGCGTTACAGGCGGTAGTAAAGGTCTTAAAGGCGGTGGTAGAGATCTTAAAAGCGGTAGTAGAAGTCTCACAGGTGGTAGTGGAGGTCTTACAGGCGGTAGTAAAGGTCTTACAGGCGGCAGTAGAGGTCTTACAGGCAGTAGTGGAGGTCTTACAGGCGGTAGTAAAGGTCTTACAGGCGGTAGTAGAGATCCTACAGGCGGTAGTAGAGGTCTTACAGGCGGCAGTAGAGGTCTTACAGGCAGTAGTGGAGGTCTTACAGGCGGTAGTAAAGGTCTTACAGGCAGCAATAGAGGTCTTACCAGCGGTAGTAGAGGTCTTACAAGCGGTAGTGGAGGTCTTACAGGCGGTAGTAAAGGTCCTAGGCGGCTTTTAATGAAACACCTGAAACTTTGTTCTATTTCAGCTGCCATGGAGATCCCAACCAGAAAAGAAACCGCTTGATTATGCCGTCTATTACAACCAGCAGGATCTACATTGTTGATGTTGAATCTGACCCAAGAGCGCCGCGTATTCACAAGGTAAGGATAACAAAGGAATTACGCTCATCTGAATCGCCGTGATTAGTGCGTCTCAAGCTGTAGTCTTTCCAGCACAATTGATTGCCAGCCAAACTGCCCATGCGTGTGAACAGTTTAGTTCGGACCATTCTAGCTTTTGATTAGCCTTCTGCGCGTTCCAAGTGTTAAAGTGTACAGGAATTCTATGTTGGAAGCTAGCTTAGATGAGGTGGATGATAACTTTCGCTGCCGCAAGCCTTTACAGAGATGACCTTATCATAGTTTCTGGGTGTTCTCGATAGCCTAGTTGTCCGCGCGCAGTCTGGAAAGATACGGTAAGTCTCCCGATATGTCTTGGCCCATGATGGCTCATGCATCATGGGAAATATAATGGAATCTATTGCTGTTCTGGGATAGATCAAACATTTTGACTTACAGATTGTTGAACCAAAGGAAGTATTTGAGAAGACAGGCCTGGCCTACCTTCATACATCACACTGCCTGGGTAGTGGCGAGATCATGATCAGTGCCTTAGGTTCGCCGGAGGGAAAAGCCGAAGGTATTGGTATATATAATTACTCAAACATAACGTCACTTGAGCCAACGGTAGGAGATTACTCTTTATTTCCAATAAAACTGCAAGGCTTGAAAAGGCTTACAACCTGAAAATATTTCGCCATTATTTTTAAGGAATTTGTCACATTTCCATGAATGAAAATATTCAACAATGATTTAGTTAGTCTAATATTCGTATTTCAGTTGACCCTGGACCGCTCTACTCACTGAAATTCGTTTTTCAACATGAAAGTCCAGTTAAAAAAAGGAACATTAATCATGATATCATTATTTCAGGGGGCTTCGTTATTCTGGACGGGGAGACTTTCAAGGTCAAAGGACGTTGGGAAGGTGGAAGTGAAAACGCAGCACCCATGGGATACGACTTTTGGTATCAGCCTCGACACAATGTAATGATTAGCTCTGAGTGGGGAGTGCCAAGCGCCTTAGAACTTGGATTTAAGATTGAGGACGTGGCTGCAGGTTAGAAAATTGGAATGATCAAAAGTAAGAAAGTGAACGCGACTGAATCTTAGTATTAGTAGAAAATAAAGGGGCAAAAATTCGAGTGACCCACAAAGCCGATAGAAAATTCTATTGAGACTAAGAGCGTTTAGTTCATTCCCTGGTTTGTACCTGTTTTTAAAGTCGTAATTAGGGGGATGCGTTGGCATGATATTGCTAGGACGCTGGACTCCTGATCTGAGCCTGAGTAGTTGTTTTGTTCTCACACTACCTCAGTCTAACCAAGAGTATCGATGGGTATGAATTAGCTGTAGGGAACCATTTGAAAGTGTAGGAATAAGTTAAGAAAGTTGTCCTTTACTACAGTCCATTTCAGGGGGAAAAGTAACAAACGTAGAGTGAAAACCGGGATGAGCTTCGGTAGGATGAGCCATGTTGCTCGTGTGCAGATTGTGTATTTGTCCGTTCGTACGCTCCTTCTCTCGCTCATACTTTCAATCGATAATTCCCTTTAGTACACTTACATTTTACTAGTTTACTAGTGCTTACAGCTTTCGTTTTTCGCAATCGTTTGCTACTTTTTGTCTTCAGGAAAATACGGGTCGCATTTGCACGTGTGGGACTGGAACGAACGAACCATAAAACAGACCATAGACTTAGGAATGGGTACGATTCCTCTAGAAATCAGGTTCATGCACGATCCTGATCAGACGCAAGGATTTGTGGGGTGTGCATTGAACAGCACCGTTGTGAGATTCTTTCAAAATGAGGTGAGTGTTCGTTATATATGTTATGACACAGTCTTCTCTCATATAAGGTGCGCTCTCTGAGTAAATCGCAGTTATTTGGATAAAACTAACAAAAGTTCCCATCTAGGAAAACAATCGACAGTTAAACCAGATTAAGCATAAAATTTTGTTAATTTTGGGTTTGTGTGCAAAATGATGAAAATAATTTGTGTTTTTCAATAATTGAAGCGTGATTTGATTTTTAAAAAACAATTTTATCAAATAAATAAATACTGAAACCCTTTTAATACATTTTATTCTCTTGTCTGGACAAATAGAGTATAACCTCTTGGTTTGAGGTGTGTAGGTACTGCAAATTCATTTTATATGAATGAACAAAGTCTGATTTGTATAGAGTTTCTCTCAGTGCAGGTTTCATCAGCATCGAATAAATTGCTCTAATCAAATTATGTTGAACCAGGCATTACCAACTAATTGAAAACGCTAATTTTAAACGTTTAGGAAAAGACTTGGAGTGCAGAGACCGTAATCAAAGTCCCAGCTAAGAAAGTGGAGGGCTGGGCTCTACCGGAAATGCCAGGTGGGTCAGACTTAATGATTCACGTCTCAAAATAATCCAACTGAACTTGTTGAGGCTTTCTACAAGGCGTTTAAATAATGCGTTTGTTCGTAACTTCTATGATAATTTGTCACTTAAAAATTGGAAATGTATAGAGAAATAAACGAATGAACGAACTAATGGATGTGATAACGCACAAAAGAGAAGAAAAAGGGAAGAGCATTCGAAAGCCGGAAATAAAATGCAGTTGGATCTTTACTTACTCCTCTGAGGAAACGTATCAAAGCGAGGCGGTTTCCTTTCCACAGGTCTGATTACAGACATTCTTATCTCGCTCGACGACAAGTACTTGTACTTCAGCAACTGGCTGCATGGAGACATCAGGCAGTATGATATCACAGACACAAAGAATCCTAAACTAGTAGGCCAGGTAAGAACATTATTGATTAAAATACTTGAAAGCCAAGGCAGTGAGAAGGATCTTCGCTCACGTACTCTCTTACACCCTCTTACACAGATCCTCTCAATGCCACTTGAATATGTACCTTGGGAAATATCTTAGTTGCTTCAAGGAGGCTCGGAAAAGTATTGTTGCGTCTCTATACCTCCGAAAGTAGAAGTAGGAGAAGTTAGTACCCTTTGTTCTGGGCGTCTTTCGCTTGAAGTGTTAACCCTGCACCGACTAAGTTTTGGCTGATTGTGGCTAACTACCACGATGAACAAAGAGGGGGGGAAAGGAATCCTCGTTGTCTAGTCCACAGAACAATATTGCTTCCGGTGTTGTAAAGCTATAAATGCATCTTAAGTTATATTTTAATTGTGAAATTTCACACAAAACCCTTGAAGACATTACACCTGGTTGTTTGAACTTTCATCAGATAAATCGCCGTAAGTGTCCTCAAACTCCGTTGGACAGCAATATATCTTGGGAACTCTTGTGATATGGACTATGCATCATTCGATACTTACGATAACTGTTGAACATTGGTCCGAAAGATTTATTTTCTTCGTGCCTCCTTGGGGCGCTTATTGTGTTTCAGGTGTTTGCCGGAGGCAGCATCGTCAGTGACGGACCAGTGAAGGTAATTGAGGATTCTGAACTGAGCGCACAGCCTGAGCCATGTTACGTGAAAGGGAAGCGAGTTCAAGGAGGACCGCAGATGATTCAGCTGAGTTTGGATGGAAAACGGCTTTACGTCACAACATCACTATACAGCGTTTGGGACAATCAGTTCTATCCTGACCTCGTTAAGTAAGTGCAAAGGGTCAGGGTATGGTGAAACTTCATTAATCGGTTGTATAGAAAAAGTGACAAACTGCTTCTCAGTTCCGCGCGGTAGTTTCTTGATACGCTTTCCATTCAATCACCACGAGCAAAGATTAGCATGGGGAGCCAGTCAACTAATCCTTACACATGATCTATTTTCTTTCGAAATGTTTAAGTATACTGAACGTATGAAATGAATATAGGATAAATTAAATAAAAGTTTGGTCAGGAAAAAACAAGAAAGTAAAAAAATTAATCAGAAATACGAAAGAAGAAAAATTGACTCGACCGAATACTTCTCCTTAAAATGTAAAACGATCAACCCTTTCTTGTCTTCAACTACTTTTGTTTTTCCCTCATCGTTACGTCATTTTATTTTTTTCTCGCAGGAAAGGCTCTATGCTACTGCAGTTTGATGTCGATAATGTTAACGGTGGCCTCAAGTTAAATCCTGATTTCTGTGTTGATTTTGGAGACGAACCCGACGGTGCAGCCCTAGCTCATGAAGTTCGTTATCCGGGGGGAGATTGCTCCTCTGATATCTGGCTATAGTAGCCAATAACATGTATCAGATAAATGTTACTTCACCAGGTCCAGAATCAGTGAAAAAGGAAATTGTACCCGCTAAAATTTAAATGCCCGAAATATAACTTTTTTCTAGCTAGCTTTTTTCTAGTTTCTTCATTACTCGTATTGAAATAAAATTCATATGTATTTGTTTTTGCTAGAATAGTCCTTTCTCTGTAACACAATGATCAACAATTTGACAAACAGCTTTCATGTTGCTGTGAATCTGTTCAGAAACAGATCACAGATGAATTCAAAATGTGGTAAGAACAAAAAAGTGGCAAACCAGGTGCAGCCGAGTTTGTCATTGATCTTCTTACCACATTTAAAATTTCTATACTACATGTTATATGTAATAAAGAAGCAAGATTTTGTTGCTGTTGTGACTTCATCGATGTAGTTCATAAGTGAGAACACATTAAAATGCCTGTATGATTATGCTTATTAAATAAACAGTAATTATTTTATCCTAATAGGTACGTGTCGGTATTTTTTTTGGCTCTTTTTTTTGCCTGGAACACCATGTCACTATTTACATACTATCTAACCGGAAGGGACTGAAATAGAGTACATTTTTATTCACTCTGTCTGTAACCGGGGTCTGTGCTTGATCCCCGTTAATGACCCCAGTTTTTCATCGTTTGCCTCTTGTAATATTACGGTTCAATTCGGGAATTGAGCAGGGACAATCAATCCTACAAGTCTGAAATGATATGAAGGTTTCAAGAAAGTTGCCTCACTTCCTGTAAATAGAAAGAAAAATCTCAACTTGGCTTGATTTTACTTTTTACGTTTAAATCATAAAATATGTAGCACATAATTTTCTTTCATGTTGATGAATGAACAATTTAGTGAAGAGACTGCATTTTGATCTCAATCGAAGGATTTATCGCCAATGGATCGCGAGCCTATTTTCCTATTTAGTAGTGCTGGTGCGACAGACTATTTTTTTGCACCAATCGCTGTGATTTTTCAATTCACTTGGGCAACTGGCTGCATGGAGATATCAGGCATCATGACATCACCGACACTAAGATTCCTTAACTAGTAGGCCAGGTTAGAACATTATTGATTTAATACTTGGAAAGCCAGGGCAGTGAGAAGGATCGTCATTCGCGCACTCTTTTTCACAGCTGATCCCCAACTGCCATAGTGATCTCCTCACACAGAAGTAGAAAGCGAATTAGGAAGGATCTTAGCTGCATCAACGAGGTACGGAAAAGTGGTGGTCTGTGCTCGATGTTCAGTCATGACCCAACTTTTTCATCGTTCCTTCTTGTAACTTCGGTTTAATTCTGAAATAGAGCAGGGACAATCAATCTCCTATGTCTGAAATGGTATGAAGATTTAAAGAAGTTTGCTACACTTCCAGTGTATCACACCTTACCCCGAAAGTAAGAATGCCTTTGTACCTTACAGAAAGTCCTGATTTAGCTTCTCTACGCGTCTGATCCTTAACCAACCATACGCCCCAAACTTCCTCTCAAGCTCCAACGTCTGACTAGTGGGTCCCAGACCCCACGGACGATAACGCGAAGTGTTCTTTACACAACCCAATATTCTATGTTGGGATTTGTCCGCTGAACAATTGAATTTTGTATTTTCGGAAAGTCTAAAGATTTATAGAGTCGACGCATGGCTTCGATTATATTACGCCGAACCAATTTTTACGCCAGTAGACTCTTTTTAACAGCGGCTGCAGCTCTGAGTGTAGCTCCAAAGATACTTACGGCCGAGTTCTGCAGTACTGGAAAGTGCAATGATGAAGTTGAGAAAGCCAAACTCGCCTCCGTGGCGGCAGAGAAATATCAGCCCCAAGACACAATTTTCGGCAAGATCTTGCGAAAAGAAATTCCAGCTGATATAATTTATGAAGACGATAAGGTCAGTATGTTAATGCAATTCGGTGAATGATTCAATGGTTATTCCTCAAGAAGCCTACATCTACCTAAAACTACCCCCTTCTCCCCAGACTAGTTTCACCCCTTCTTTCTTTTGGCTAAACTGCAGAATACCCGGCCACTTTGGTCCGCCACACTTACATGTGTCGGGAGGCTATGAAGATCGAGGCATATCACAATAGACACTATTCTTATTCAATGACATGTAAATGAGTGGCTGGGTATTCTGCAGTTGCTCCCTTCTTTTAAAACTCATATTTAAATAGCCTTAGGACTTTACTAAGGAAAACTTTGTTAATTAACATAGTCGTTGTTATTGGTTTTCAAGTTGTTCTTTGTGCTTGAGTTGTCCTTATTATCATGTCTTCCATTTAAATTCCCACATAATATGTCTCATAAACCTCAATATCAAAAACAAACAAACAAATAACAATGAAGTGGAAGAAATTTACGTTCAATGTTTACCTGTAACTATTCCATTATATATATTAAGGGGTCACAACAAATACTGGATGTTGTAAACTTTCAATAATTTGTAAAACTTGGGAGGCTACCTAGTGTGTAAATATTAAGGTTGTTGGTTTTATTTTAGTTCTCTCTTGCCAAGGGCATAGATCATTCAATATAGTGTCTTGAAATTGGCCTTGTCACATGGTAGGAAACAGTTAAAGTGCCTATGATTAACTTTATTTGTTTGCTAAAACTCCTTGCAGAGTTATATTATTAGTTGCTAGTTGTTGTATTATTGATTAGTGTTAAAATGAATCTGTCCTAGATGGGCAGACAGAAAAAACATTCAATTTGCTCTGAAGAGAGGCTAATGCTCGAAACATCAGCTTAAAAGCTCTTAATTGGGGCCAATCTACATTATTAACTCAGTTTATAAAACTATGTTATTTTTTTTACTCTCATTAATGCAGCACCACAATTACTTTAGAAATCTACCCCCTTTAGACAGAAAAACTGCTTTTGACTTGACTCCAATGTGAATATGTATATACAGCAGTTTATGTTCATGCTGGCAATAAATACTAGATGGATTCTGAACTCAATTAGTGTGAATAAATCTGTTTTCATTTTGTAATAGGCACTTAATCAGCTGTGGTAGACTGATTGTGTCACACTGATCATGGACGAAACATACAATAGCTACAAACATTTGAGTGTTTTGCACTTGTAATTTGCATACAGAGTGCTTGTAGCACATGAAAAGAACTATTCATGGTAAAGCTGCTATACATGTGGCAGTGTACACACACAATTATAACCAATGGCAGGACTTTACTTTTTAAAGAGATCTATTGGTTTTATCACAAGCAGTGAATCAATTATTGTACTGTAATGTTTGTATGGATATGTCAACAGGCTATTGCTTTCCGTGATGTCAATCCTGTGGCACCCACACATGTTTTGGTGATTCCACGTAAACCTATAACACAACTAGCGGCAAGCACTGAAGAAGACATTCCTGTAAGTACCAAGAGTCTTTATTATCCATCCTGCAGAGTAGGCTTGAAATATTCAGGTTAGGAGTGGTTTATATGGTTATGAGCATCAGATAAATGAACTAATTCTTTTTTGTTGTGCATTTGGAAAATGGAAACTATTCATTTTATATGATGAAATGGTGATGTCATCTATGTGCCTGTCCTCTAATAGATCATAAGTAAGAATGAATCAAAATGCATATAAAATTAAGCTTATTATATGATTACAAATAGATTCACATCACAGATGATATCAAAATGTGGTGGGAACAACAAAAGTGGCACACAAGGCACAGCTTCTAGGATCTTTCGCTGAACAGATGCACTGCAACATGATATCAATTTGTTTTATTTGATGTAAAAGCTAATTTTTGTTAATGATGACACGATCTATGGGTCTGTCCTCAAATAGATTATAAATAAGAATCAATCAAAATGTGCGCATAATTCAGCTTATTAAATAAAGTGAATTTGACCTAGATCCTCAATAAGTTCTGACTGAACATTTGTCTACCAAATGAAGTTTCTCATTCTAGTCACCTAAGTTACATGATTAGGAAGTGACTTAAATAGAAAACATTTTCTGACCAGTTCATCAACATTCTTATGTTTTATGATCAAGCTGTTTTCATTTGTTTGAAAATCATTAATTTTTAACCCTCAATATGTTCTTATCATTTCAAATTTGGTGTATCCTCTTGGGGAATCTTTTCGTATTGCAAATCAAAGTAGTATTTGCCCCTTTCTTTTCTGGTACAAGCAACCAAGAGCATCTTGATTGGTTTATAAGAGCATTTATGTTATCTTTTTCAAAGAATTTTGCTTCCTCCAGCTGGTCTCGCAATTCATTTATCTGTTTAGCAATAAGTGATAACTGATTGATTTTGCTTCCTTTAGCTGGTCACGCAATTCATTTATTTATATAGCAATAAGTGATAACTGATTGATTTTGCTTCCTCCAGCTGGTCACACAATTCATTTATTTATATAGCAATAAGTGATGACTGATTGATTTTGCTTCCTCCAACTGGTCACACAATTCATTTATTTATATAGCAATAAGTGATAATTGATTGATTTTGCTTCCTCCAGCTGGTCACACAATTCATTTATTTATATAGTGATAAGTGATAACTGATTGATTTTGCTTCCTCCCGCTGGTCATGCAATTCATTCATCCATTAAGCCATAAGCAATAGCTGATTGATTGCTGTATGTACGCAAAGAGGAATTAAATGGAAACCTTATTTCGGCCTGAGAAACTGATGATATAATTTTCAAATCATGGATACCTTGTTAATGAACCAAGACAGAAGTTTTGCTTTAGGTCTGTGATAGTGTTTTTTCTTGTTTTAGAGACTCAAATTAATACCCAACAAGGTCTCGGTATAAAAAGTAATTATGGCTCTTAGTATCTCAAAGAATTCTAAAATTTGACCATTAAACAATCCCTGAAAACCATGATCTGGATGCTTCCATAATAACATTACTTACTTCACTTGAGGATGAGGAAGGAAATTTTTATGCTTTGATGGTAACATTGTTTTATTATCATTATTATTTTTTTCCATTTCATCCCTATAAAGCTTTTAGGTCATTTGCTGTGGGTAGCAAAGAAAGTTGCTGAGCAAGAAAACCTGAAAGATAGTGGATATAGGATTGGTAAGAGGACTCAATTCTTGAATTGTATTGTTACACACTTGGAACCTCTTTTGTGTTTCATGTACCTCTAGTCAGAGAATTCCTTACAGCACAAAGCTCAGTCCAAGAGCTGACATGTTTGTATAGTTCTTTAATTGCTTGATATTTTCATTTCAGTGATCAATAATGGACGTGATGGTGCTCAATCAGTGTATCATCTTCATATTCATGTTATTGGTGGACGACAAATGTCCTGGCCACCTGGCTGATTGAGGCATTGAATCTACAAAACCTCAGGGAGACACATCCATCACCTTTAATATAGTAAAATTTGTGATTGCTATAGATTAGTTTATACCACAAAAGTAAATAGTACTTTTCATGCATGTTGATTATCTAGCTTGGAAGTGATTAGCCAGTTACAATTCACCTCTGAGCAGCCCAGTTGAAACAAAATGGCTTCACTGCACGTTATAGGTGCATGAATGGAACTAATTTTAGTAAGAAAAGCAGGTTCTACAAAAATTACATAACTTGGCAGCAAAGATTGGTTTTATGACACTAAGTTGATGGTAATGACATCTTTCCAACTTTGTATTCCGAAACAAAAATAAAATCTTTTTTGAATTGTTGGTTACCATGTAAGTAAAAGATGAAACATGTAATGTTTTGCTGCATTTTCAAACAAGTGAAAACAGCAATTGAAGAAATAGCATCCGGAAAGATATGTATGAGTATCAAGAAGTTGCAGTTATCTGTTGAAAAGAAAGATGGGATTATTTCCGTAAGAAAATGCTTACCATACATTTTTGCCATTTTGATTTCTCCACCTTACGTCAGTTTACTAACTATTCAACTTGTGTGGTATTTCCAAAAAAACCTATTCATCTCAGTGTTGGTTTAAGTGGTATACCCTTTTCTCAACTTTGGTGAATAATTGTTCCAAAATCATCCAGTCTTTGACACAATAAAAGCTGTCCATGAAAAGAGTATTTTTCAAATACAGATGATAAACTTTTTCATATCAAATTTTTAAGGTCCACAGTAAATTGTGCACATTTGAAAGCTATGGAAAAATATTATTAAACCACAAATTTCATCTCAGGATTTCTCTCCAGTAGGGAACTGTTCAATTTTATTTCAACCCTGCAAAGAGGGGTTAGAAAATTATTAGTTGGAGTTTCATAAGTCAAAGAGAAATAAAGACTATTTTTGGTCCCTTCTCAATTTCATCACTTTTCTCCTGATTTTCTCATACATCTCTCTTTAGCTCAATGGAAAGCTAGTTCTTTTCTTTTCAAAGAACAACGCACTGCATATGTCAATATAACTTCGTTGGTGTAGTTTGAATCATTTGAATCATTTTGGTAGGAGCAGCCCACTAAACCGCACAAGGAGTGCCCTTGTGTTGCAGAAGAATTACTTCTGGATTGCTGAAGATTATGTTCTATTACTTTTATTATTATTATTGTCATTTTAATTACGTCTTTGAAAATTTCAAGAAATCTTATCTTTATTTCAACTCAAGGAAAAAAGGGGAAATCTATTCCTAGACCTATAAGAGTTATATCAACAATTTGGATTTCAAATCAGTTCCCAAATCAGAGGATGTTGAGAAGAATATTTTAAACCTTAAGTTGGCAGAGATTAGACTATTTAGCCTAGGCACCAAAGAAAAATTTTTTTTTTTTTACATAGCTGTGCCCAAGCAACTACCATGAAGCCTGAAAATAATATTAATTCAGATTCTTACCTGGGCAATTATGTTTCCCTCTTCACAGCGCTGAACAACCTGAGAGAGTAAAACTTTAAATATTCACACGATTTCTTTTCGGTTACTGGTTTTGCAACCCATCGCTTGTTTGCTTCGGGAAAGCAAAGTTTGTACTGTGCCTGGCCTTCCTGTTCCCCTGACTTGATTACAGCTTGACCACAACCAGTGTTGTGATTGTTGTAAAGAGCAGCAAGCCGGGCCCTAGCGACTATGCCCAGGTGTGAGAAATGCCCAGGTTTTGCGCAATACTTGAGCATCATAGAGTGATAACCCTCGAGTCTGCCAGTGTGGCATAAGTCAGTAATCTTGGCAGTATCCTTCATCAGTCAAGTGTTAAGGGCCACTACCTCTAAAGCTAAGAATGCTTGGCTGTTTGGCAAAGCCAACAGACTTTGCTTCGGAGGAAGAAATTTTGCAAAGACAGCATCATTGGAAATGAATATTTCCTTACCGCACGTGCTTATCAATGATGTGGTTCAACACCGACTTTCATTTTTCTCGAAGATCATAAACATTACCATTGCAGGTTGCAGCAGACCGCCATAGGTGGTTTGCGATCGTTTGTATCCATGGTGAGAGCTCTTCACATCCCCTTTGATTTGCTTTGTTAGTCAGCTTCTTTACCACCCACTTGGAGAGGTGCCACACATCACTTTGATGTTTGGGTGATCTTTGGCCATTATCTCCCCCTGGCTGGTGATGGACACATGGTGATCTGGCTGATTGCAGTAAAGATATTACCTGTAAACAAAATGGCAGCAGACAACAACAGATTTCTCGGGGGTTTCCTTTTCACTCCTGGCTGGGAATCCTACTTAACTGTGTGGCTACTGTTACAAGTCAAAACAGAAACAACAGGCCAATAATACAAAATTGCTTGGTATTTACCTCGGAGTTATCCTTTAAGCGTAAAATTATTCCCAGATTTATTGGGATACAAGCTGTTCATCTTCCCACAGATCAATTAGCTTTATCGTTAATCATTTTAGTTGCGATCAATATTTACTCCTCATCATAAACAGAACTTCAGGCTTTCAAGGTAAAGTTAAGATCGTGACCTGAGCTCAACTTCAGTTGTTGCTTAAACAGAGATTTTCCATCGAAAGGAACTTGGGAAAGCCACAGTCAAAAAAATCATGAAACCGAAAGAGCCGTTACTTACTGCGAACTCGGTCTCCTACGTTTTTGTATTTTATTATCTATGAAAGAAAACACCCAGCGTTTACACTGCTGTCGCTTTAATGCACATCAGTTCTAAAGCGTCAACTGCAAATTTTCATCTTAATGTAGAATTGCTATTAGAAGCCTATGATAAACTTCTGGCTTAAGATTATACCAGATGGTATTGAAAGAGAACAGATTCATGGAAAGGAACCCTAAATCTAAAAATATTAGTGCATTTTAAAGAGATATAGTGAGAATGATAAGGTCATCTGTGCGACTTCCCATGGGCTAAAAGCTTTTCTATCATTTATTAGTGTTCTAACAATATTCCATTAAAAAAGAAAAAAAAAAACTTTTCTCCATCTGTTGGCCTAGGCTCCTTCTCCCTCCCCCCTTCTCCTTTTACCAATGGATTTAACGATTAAGCGCAGGCCTCCATCTGAACAAATACACTTTGCACCCACTAAAGACAGGTTTGTATCTATGACGCCCATCACAGCAAATCGTATTCCACTGATGCACGTCCGCGCGTCAACTGTTCTTTAAATTTCAGCTAGCATTGAACACTTTATTCAATCCATTCACAGAGACCCGCGGGTAAACGCTAACTCCCAAAATGTTTGTGCACATTTACGGGGCAATTTTTGTTGTTTTTGTTCTGTCGGTCCTCTGCGAAGTACCCGTTGGGAACGCGGCCCCTTCAGAGATACAGGATAAGTACCCCTGTCCTGTTTGTAAACTTTTGAAAAAGATTTTGAAGCAAAACGAAAATATCGAGAAAAAGATCGATTTGCTTCTTGAAGAGGGCGACAACTGTTCACGAGGTAGGGATTTAGCCAGCAATCTGCACCCTAGTTCTCTCATGATTTACGCGGTAGATCAATTTTGGAGAAACAGCTGACTAGAGAGTTTTCCCCGTAAACCATCTTAGCAAGTTTGTTTCACTGATTTTCTGACTACAGCCCACAGATGCTGAATCATCTTCCAAACCAACCAAATCACAATTTGGACCAGTAATTGGTATTAGATAGCTAGCTTTAATAAGATTCTTTAATCTTTTTTTAAAGTAACAGACTGTGCTGATATCTACAAGTGCGGTCATGAAACCAGCGATGTGTACACGATCCACCCACACAATCAAAAGCCCTTCGATGTTTTCTGTGACCAGACCACTGATGGCGGAGGCTGGACAGTGTTTCAGAAGAGACTGGACGGCTCCGTTGATTTCTACCGCGGGTGGAATGACTATCAGGTGGGGTTTGGGAACCTGCAGGGCGAGTTTTGGCTGGGACTTGACAAGTTACACGGTCTGACTATTAACAACAAGAAGCGATACGAACTGCGCGTGGATTTGGAGGATACCTCAGGCAACCAAGTTTATGCTGCGTATGAATACTTTGCCGTGTCAAGTGGAAATTCCAATTATCAACTGAGCCTTGGAACATACCATGGTAAAAACCTATTGTCATTTACTGCAAATACATATTTTTATTCATTATTCAGTATTTTACCGTAAAGGGTGTAGTTGCTTAAGTATAGGAAAAGGTATACCATTGTTTAGCGCCTCGGGCAGAGTGTTTTTTGAACCAAAACCTTTGAAGAGGGTGAGCGATTCGGAGATGCGCTATTAACAAGTGTGGTACTAGCGATTTCTCAAAATTGTAAACAGTTTTTCTGTGTAACTTCGTCGTGGCACAACGTGGTCGATGCGCACCTCTTACGTTTTTTTTTTGTTTTAAACAGGGTCATGGTTTTAAGGGCTCGACAGCATACGCTACAAAAACCTTCTTGAGGGGTGGGGTAGTAAGATAAGTTCCATCCTCTCTCTTGCTATAAGAACTTGATCTTAATAATCCTAACGAGCTTGTAAACTATCGATCGAACGTAACTCAGGTCCAGAATCTTTTTTCATTTGTAGGAACTGCTGGTGATTCGCTGTCCGGTCACAAAAGTTTGTCGTTCACCACAAAGGACAACGACAATGATCTTTACAGCAGTAACTGTGCCGTTTCGTTCCATGGCGCTTGGTGGTACGGGAATTGTCACTCTTCCAATTTGAACGGCGCTTACCATCATGGCGCCCATGCCTCCTACGCTGACGGGGTAAACTGGCACACCTGGAAGGGGTACCATTACTCCGCGAAAAGGGCTGAGATGAAAATTCGGCCCCATGATTGGATCCCATTGTAGACCCTGGATACAAAAGCTCTTTGTTTCTGGTACGTTTTCGTACTAATGACAAAATTGCAGCAATGTGTCCACTTGATTATAACGATTATTGATGGTGTCTTATGTTTTAAAGAAAAATGCATTTGTGGGCGTGTAATCATTCTTCGCTATTTTTTTTGCCACTGAGGCAATAGTTATATATTTGAATTTCACATAGAGGAGATTATATACCTCGTTTTAACCCAGCCAGAGAAAGAGGGAGTGTTTAGGAAAAGAGCTCTTGTAAGGAACATAAAGCCAACTCGAAAGTTAGAGAAAGAGCGGATCGTCAAAGATGAAACAACAATAATGATAATAACAATAATACTGATGATGATGATGGTGATGATAATAATAATAATGATGAAAACCATATACTCCTTATACTCTTTCCAGCTACAAGTGCACATCAGAACAGAAACCTTTCACATGCCTTTCTTTTGCACGTCCTCAGATGTTTGAAGTTCAAGTAGTCCGTTATTTCAATGTATTTACCATTTGCTTGTTGTTGTTGAAAAGAGCCATACATCTCTAGGTGCAGGACTCTTTTAAGCTTTACGAAAAAGTAGATGAACTTTGTGTGATTAGTATGAAAAGACTGTAATAAGGCCAGAAAATAAAGTGGCTCGATACCACCATCTTCCAGTTGTTATGAACTGTTAACTTTAACTTAATTGGCCGAATTGTTTTGTTCTGTTTTGCTGTTGTTGTTGTTTTTTTTTTGGCTGAATTTCAAGAACTGGCAAGGGTGTAGCTGAGTAGAAGGAAAAGAGGAGAGTACAGAGTAATGGATGAACACCCTTCCTGTCAAGAAAAAGTGATAGTTACCATGCCCCCCGTGCCAGTGAGATGTGAGTTTAGTGCCCGTCTCTACTTACCAGCCTGTCCTCCTCCCTCCCCTGATCAGGGAGGATAAATTCTGATCTCTCTCCGTTTTTTGAGTTTTTGTTGTTGCCAGCCATGTGATGTTTTAATGTCTTAGAAAACTTGACCTTTTCATACGTCGCGATTTAGTCTAAAGCTTGAAAGCTGAAATTTTTTCCTTGTGTTCAAAATGCTTTGCTTGACAAAAATTAGAAATCCTTGCGGCAATTGCTAAAGACAACAAAACCGATTTTCGCACTAAGTCGAATCAAAATGGTATTCATCTACATTCAAAGTCGGTCTCTTTGTGCTTTGCTGGTCGACGTTATAGACATTGGAAATTTGCCGAGGAAATCAATCCCAAATCGCTGTATCTGCCGCTTCTGTTTTGTTCTGTTCTATGATTCTCATTTCTTTCCTCTCCCCTTTTCTTTTTCCCTCTTTTGTTCTCTTCTTTTCCTTTTCCCTCTCTTTTCTCTTTTATTCTCTTTCCCTCTCCTTTTCTACCGTCCGATCTTATCTTACCCATATATGTGTCTTAAATGCCGGACTGTCTTTAAGCCAATTAAGGCAACAAGCGAGTTATTTGAGCCGGAAAAATTCTGGCACAAAGAGTAAAAAATTGTTCTCTTCTCTTCTCGCGTCTACTCCACTCCACTCATCAGTACATTCTCTTCTCTTCCTATCTCCTCTCTTCTTTCATATCCTCTTCTTCTCTTTTCTTTTCCATCCGATGATATTGTAATACCTTACATTTTTTGTCTTGCACTCTTAAGGCAACAGACAAGTAATGCGAGTCGGATTGAAAATTCCTTGCATGCACTTCAAACGATGATTTATAATAAAGCAAATAGCTGTCAGAGTAGCTAAAATCCCTTATATAGCTCACTGTTAGACCCGTTGAGATCCAGCATCTCAGAAACTGCTGCGGACTCACTGTCCTACCATAGATTCGCTCACTTTCTACTAAAGACCGAGAAAATCATGGTCTTGGTGGTAACGGGGCCTTCCTTCACTGCTCTAATTTCTCTCATGCCAACGGGTAACCTTGCGCAGTTGTAAGGGATATCGCTATTCTGCTAGTCGCACCGAGATGAAAATCAATTCGGCCCATTGGCTGGATTCCATCCTTAACAAGCTAAAGAATGATCACGAGCTCTGTTTCTGGTAAGTTACCGAGTTAACGCAGTGGGTAGGATACGTGTAGTTTTGAAATTAATGTGTGCGCTTTGAAGACTGCCTCACGTTTCAAAGAACGTTGTATTTTGTGGGCTCGTGACGAGTCTGCGTTTTGTCATTTCGTAGCTTTTTGCTGTTGTAGTATATGCAGACATGTGTTAACAGTCCAAGATATCGTTAAGGATTAGACGGGTCGAAAGTTCTTCTTTTTAACTACCCTTGCTATATCCGCTGCATAGGTTTAACAAAAAGCGTGGAAGGAGGCAAAAATATTAGCGATAGATTCAATTCTGAGCAAAAGCCTTGGGAAAGTTAGTTAGAAAAATGAAACAATGGTTTTCATGAGTGTTCTTGAACACAACAAAGTAGAATAAAATTGAATATTGCAACAACAAAAAAAAAAGCTTATAACCACTCAATTCCTTTTTAAATTCATTACAAAATTTTCAGCCTTCACTTCAAGAATCTATTGGATGCATCAGTTTTTGTCAGAAGAGTTTTAAGAATTGCAGGAAAACAACTGGGAGGGAAAGGGGGAGTGGGTTTCAACTTGCACATGACCTCCTTTATTGTGAAAAAAGTCATAACTTCAAAATGATAATCAACTTGCTGCATGGGCTATAGGCTGGTGAGATGCAAATGTGGCCCCCTTCCCTTGGGGGCAGCTGCTCCAACTTTCCTTCCTCTCAGATGGTTTCCTTTTTAGCAGGCTTAAAAAAAAGATCAAAAACTGAATGGCCCTCCTGCAAGTTGCCAACAGTGCATACCAAAATTGACATGTGCCCAACTTGAGCACCAGTGTACAGATAAAACATTTCCACAGTTAAGTACAACCAACAATTGATGTTACAAGTTTGTTGATTAGATGAGTATCAAGACAAAGTAAACATGGCATTCAAAGAGACAGCCAGAAAGTAAATACAATAACAAACTACTAATCCCTACCACCCTAATTCTTAACCTTGCTTACATTTTGCAGCTGACCTTAAATATACACTGACTGTGTTTCTTTCAGTCATCACAAAGGAAAATTCACAGAAATTCATAGTTTTCCCATATTTGCAAATCAACTTGTTAACTATTTCATATGCCTCTAGTCTCCAACAACACAACAGGAAAATATCTATACCTCTGGCCCTAGTTATTCAACAGTTATCCACTGTATAAAGCCCTATCCAGAGGTTAGCACAGTGCCTTTTGTTAACTCCAATCCACTGGAGAGCTATTTGTCTGGCCTTGCTCGTATGATATCAAACACTAGGTTGATTACAGATTGCAAGCCAGCCAAGTTTGACTGATAGTTGGAGAGGACAGTGGGGGAAGGAGGCAGGGAAATGAGAGAAGTAATTTCTTTTGCACCACCACCCACCACCTACTGAATGTTACTCA